GCCAACCAACTAACAAGTTGTAGATTTGCACGTTGGATATTTTACATACAATACACACACACATACCCTAAGTATATATTTCTATATGTTACCCTAAATTATTGCAAAATCCGCCATAGCTTTATGATTCTACAACTGCCCATGATTCAGAAATTTTCACCTCGAAGGGGAAGATGCCTCCAAAATTTTAAGAGAGAATTTTTCTTTATAAAAAAATTAAACTAATTGATTTATTTTTAATGGTTAAATTTATTATTATTATTATTTGGCCATCTGCTATCTTTTGTGGGTATATCTCCTATTTTTCTTTTTTTGGTTGGTTTTCCATATATAACAATACTAATTAAGTGTAATATTATATATACATATATATATTTACTATTTTGATCATGAATATAAAGATTACTAAATATGAGAGAATAATTTGATGAACCCACATTAGATGAGCTCATGGGATCTCTTGAATTCCATAAATACATTGTATTATGTTTTTGATTTGGATCGTAATTTATTAAGTCTAAGACAATTAATTAAAAAATATAAATTGACTTTTTATGATCATGATTGTTATATAATAGTTGATAAAAATAAAATAAAATATATTCTCTTATTAGACTATTAAATAAAATTTGTGTATTTTAGAATCATAGTCATGATAAATTATATCAATGTTTTTTATGTTATGAAAATCTGAATTATAAAAACTTGAAATTGTTGAAGAAGAAAAATACAATTGGGACGTCAAAATCCAGCATGTTTACAGAGAAGATAACCGTTGTACTGACCATTTAACTAATCAAGTTTTCTCGAAATATCTTGGTATTTATGTTCAACATTGTTCCTCAATATTACGAAGGAAGACTTCACAGGTGTTTCTTGGTCTAAAATATATTCTCTTTATATATATATATATATATTTTCTTTTTTTTCCCTTTGTATAAAAAGAAAATACAATTGGTGGATTGTCTACTATAACTAAGAAAGATGGAGCTTGTGAATGTTGTATTTATTACATCTATTAATATTTGATTCACCATAATACCTCTTTGGTAAAAAAAAAATAGATGTCGATGCCAATCTAAGCCCTTCTCTACACTTCCTCGGCCATAAGACAATCGTAAAGCACATGAATCACTATTACGTTCCCTTGATTATTCATCTAGTAAAATTTATCGAGGGTAAATCACTTTATGTAAGTTATTTAATAACGTTTGTATTGTGTTTAAATAAATTGTTTCAATAGATAGCATAAATCATTACCGTACTTAATTTTACATGATTTTTTTAGTAAATAAGTCACGATCTCTTAATTCATGTTCGATCTGTTCATAAATAGGTCAACATATTTAGATATAATTAAAATGTTTGTTATAAAATGTTAAATGAGTTAAGTAATCAAAAATTTTAATTAATTAGTTTAACATGTATATTAAGTTTATAAATATTATAATACATGTTATATAGGTTACATTGCATACATATTGGGCCCATATAATTATGCTATGTAAGTATATATGCTTATATATTAAATTAAATATATTAATAATATAACTTATTTTACACGTCAAATAAATATAAATTAAGTTAAATGAACTAAGTAAATTTACTTATTTTGATTCATTTTTTGACGAGTCAACTACGTTGCTTGTTTAAATTAAAGCTAAAGACATCTAATTTTATGTCTAAATATATTGTGTAAATGATCATATCGAATTTTATAAATACTAAATCTTTTTTATATATAGTTTAATAAATAAATTATTTTGATTCAAAACTTTATGCAAGAATACGAACACATTTTTAAAGCTAAAGACTAATCCACTAATATTTTTAAGATTAATTTGGAATAATTGTGTCAAAAAATTGTAAATAGTAATGCTATGTCCAATTTAAATTAAATATAATAATAATACAACTTATTTGGCGAGTCAAAAAAGTATAAATTAGGTTAAACGAACTAAGTAAATATACTTATTTAAATTCTTTTTTTGACGAATTTAATATGTTAGTTATTTAAATTAAAAATAAAATTATTTACTTTATGTTTAAATATATTGCCTAAATGATCATATCGAATTTTATAAATCCTAAATCTTTTTTATACATAGTTTAATAAATAAATTATTTATACTCAAAACTTTATGCGAGAACACGAACACACTTTTAAAGTTAAAGCTAAAGGTTAATCCACCAATATTTTCGGATTAATTTGGAATACTTGTGTCAAAAAGTTGTAAATAGCAATGCTACTTCTAATTTGAATATATAACATTACACACACACACACACATATATATATATATATATGCACTTGGGGGTTAGAAAAAGTGAGTTTTGTTTTCAAAAGGAGATGAAAAGAGTGTGTAAATGTGTGATTCCTAATTACACTTTTACATAAAAGCAATTAAAAAACAAGCATTTAGGGTTTGCTTTTTAGGGTTGAAATCATAATGATGACAAGACTAACTTTAATGGTGGAGGAAGGAGGAGCCTTTCAACCTGTTATTTTAGAACTTTGAAGGGTTACAAGTCATAAAGAAATGACAGATTGATTCCACAGAGAGTTTAGTTGAGTTTCTTTTGCCTTAACACAAAAGGAAGCTTTTTCTCTTTTCTCTTTTCTCTTTTCCTTTTTCTCTTCTTTTTCACTTTTGAACAAAAAAAAGGTAATCGACTTAGGCTTTCTTTGGTTAGACCAGGCTTTGCATCTAGTGGTTCTCTTCTTCAAAAAAACAAACCCAGAAAAAGATAAAACTTTAAAACAACATAAAGTAAAAGCACTATGATCTAAAGTGCTCTTTCTTTTTTCCCTTTTTCTTTCTTTTTAATTTCCCTTTTTAGGATAAACATGGCTCTAAAGGTTTTCTCTGTTTAAATGCTACTTTACCATTAACGGAAAAGTGGGTGGCCAGGAAAAAAAATACTCAAATCTAAAAACATGACCAAGTTTTTGGAGACTAAACCTTTTCTTTTTTGAAATAAATTCACTCTTATGTTCTGTTCTAATAAAATATAACTACATAAATTCCATTGCAAGACTAAAATTTTGCATTTACTAAGTTCAACTATAAATATAAAGTTTACTAGTAGGTTGAAAGTTGACAGTCTTAAGGGGAAATCCCATGTAATGGTAATTTGATTCTATACAGGATCATTAAAGTGTTTTACAGGCAAGAGAACCATCCTAAAGAAGGCTACTAAAAAACTTGGTATATATTGAGTGCCTCACATGCCCATGTTTCTTTTAATATTAAGCATTTTCCCAATTCAAGAAGAAATATACACCAGTACATTGCTATCTCGCTACAAAATTATTTTAGCGGTAAGCAATTTTAAAAGCAAACCCGAAAAAGATCTCCTAAGCCAGAAGCTTTAAAAGATTTTTTGGCCCTGTAACTGACAGAGGCAAGAAGGAGAGCATAATCTTAAAATAATCCGGAATTACACTCCATACGTGTTTGATAATGTAGTGATACTGAGAAATTCACAGCTGAATATTTAAGGAAAGTGCTAGAAAGGAATGAATTTACCATAGATTTTCTTTAATTGGAAACTTAAATTAAGCAGTGCCGAGCAAGATAACAACTTCCAGAAGACAAAAAAATCCAATAATGGGTTACCCAATTAATCAAAGACATAAGCTTTGAATTCATACATACAGCTTCTTCATTCTTTTGCCCAATCGACAGGCAAGCAAGAGAGTATGAATTGAAACCTAAAATAGGCTGCAGAGAGTTAAGAGCTACCTCAATCACTGTACTCTACTATTTACAACATTAACACAAGAGATAATACATTGACAACTCTATTGAATATTGCGGCGGCTTTATATTTTTCCCAAAACCTGGCATCTTCTTCCTCAAATAAACCATATTAGAGTACGCCGTAAATTTCAAGAATCAGCCAATAGAATATGATGCTTGACCTCCATAAATAAGCACACATTTATGCATTGAGAAGAGCAATTAGTTAGAGAATTTTAACTCACCATTTCTTTTGAGATCATCATGAGCTCTCTTGGAAGGTATGAGATCGAGAGAGAGCTGCAGGATTAGCTTCCAAGATATGACTACCATCTAATACATGGTCCTTGCCATCTGCTTTAGTTTCCAAAGCTTTAAAAATTGCAGTTCTTGATATGGGATCCTTCTGGTCAAGCTTGATACCCAGTGTAGCCCATATAGGACTCTTAGATGCTTCGTCAGGGTCATCTATTCTCAGTGTCTTTGGAACCAAAATGGACTTCTCTGATTGTGCTTCCTCCTTGAAGTTTGGGTCTCTTGAATGCTTGCCTAGTGTTGGTGAACTGTTGCCTGAGCAGCAACTGTTGCTAGTAGATGAAGATGGAGAAAGGCAACCATTAGATGCAGCCAAAGGCATATTCCCGGTCCCAGCAGTCCATACAGGCATGCAACCCCAGTAAGAAGCAGGTACAAACTGTAGGGCGATGTTAGGAGGGCAAAACCCAGGAACAGCAACCATTGGTGTTGAGCACCATTGAATAGGATTTTGATTATTGACATTTGCCGTTGAAACGGGCTGAGAAGAGTGCTGAGATGCTGCTACTGGAGTTACATTGTTCCAACCAGGATTCCATGGGAAAACCAATGGAGAAACAGGGTAACAAGGGAGAGGCTGTTGTGAGTTAGGTTCTTTACAAGTTCCAGAAAAATTACCTTGTTCGTTCTGTGAAATATTTCCTGGTATACCACTGCCGCGACTACTGGAAGCCGTCAGAGGAGACCCACACGAGGAAGGCTCTCGTCCATTTTCCCCACAATTTACAGAACTCATCTCAATGGATCTCTTATGTTCTCCAAGATTAAGTACTGAATCCATGGATTCACAAAGAGGTGCTTCAGGACCAAACTTTAGAACTGTCCCGTTTCCCATAGAAGGCCTAAATGCGGCTGCTGAGTCACCAGAGGGCAGAAGCTGGTGATTGGGTGATTCTGTGTTTTCCAGCCGGCTAATTGGTACTCCATCTGATGATACTAGTATTTGACGATACTGGGATGCAAACTGCTTGTTTTTACGCCGCCCAGCACCAACAGGAACATTTCTCATTGTTCCACCAGCTGTCCAATATCTCTGGCAATTCTTGCAAAAATGCCTAGGTTGGTTGACATTATAGTTATTGAAGTAACAAAATTTTGTGTCTAAACTGTTGCATCGAGGACAAGGAAGGATCTTATCTGGCTTCTTAAAGACTCTTTCTTGATCTGCACTATTGGTCTCAGTCTGATCTTCTTTCTGTTTAGAAGCCTGTTCCTGATTCATTTGCATTGAAGATTTCTGTTCATTCTTGATATTAATAAAACTAGAGGACTTCTCTGAGGGAAAAGCATCACCCTGCAGCAGCCCGTTGGCTTCTGACTTTGCAATTTCACTCCTCGTTTCCTGAAATTTGAAGTTAAGTCTGTAATACTTCCTTTCCTAAGGAGAGAGAACAGAAATCAGCTCATAAAACAAAGAATCACAACACAGCGACCACATTTATTGTCCCTTATTGCTTATAAATGCGATAAAGACATGTTTTCCAATTGTATGAATCTCTTCACTTCAATGAGAATAAATGAATTAATTTTTGTTGGATTGTATAACTTTATTCTGCTTTCTTCCACTCCATCGACTAGTATGGATAAAACTTACAGGGCAGGAGCTACAATTTAAAGCAATCACATAAATTGCACCTAAAAATGAAAACAAAAAACTCTTTTGAAGCAAACAAAAAAAAAAAACATAGAACCATAACTAGAGTCTGGAAGATTATGATTAATAGCATGTGGTTAACTAAACACTCATACAATTCGAAGCACTGATATGACCCCCATATAACTCCTCAGGACGAAGATAGAAAAGAGAAACAGATTCTGGATATCAAACAGATACAAACATGGGGCTGATGCTCGGGGAGAATTAAATGATTTAACTAGAATATAAATCTAGCAAGCACGAATCAACTTATCATTGATCTGATTTTCCCAATCATATCCATTAAAATGCATAAAAAGAATGCTATTAGTTAATTTTCTTTTTTCAAAATCCATTAGTTCATTTTCTTAAACTAGAAAAAATCCCACCCAACTGAGACATCAAACAACATCCACCAGTCATCTGATTCAAAAAAGAATCATTTATTGTTCCCCAGCATCTTACTTACAACCTTCACAATCATCCTAACTTTTTTTTAATCAAACACAGAACTCCATATTCATAGCCAAATTATCATCATGCATATATTCTGATTAAACTGCAGCAAGGAAGCTAAAAAGGATTAGCTTAATGTTTAAAACTATATTTAATATTACACCAGTTTTATGAATAACCAAGCTCAAGGTTAGTAGAGTTTAAGGTAAAACATGGAAATGGAAAACACCACAAAGGAAGAAGCCAAAAAGGAAAAAGCCGTTTCACATTCTGTAACATAGGAAAACTGAAGATAGCAGAAGAACACGCAATACCCGTTTGGCCTATACCATTAAAACAAAATCCTCTGAAACCTCATCAATTCACATTTAGAGATCCACTGAAGTTCAGAAGCAAAAACCCAAGTAGACCTTAGCTACAAATTAAGACGACGAATCTGATATCAACCCAGAATCAAGGGAAGCCAACATAAACCGTAAATCTTATAGATTCAATAACTCTAATCTGGTAAAAACAATCAATAAAAACGAGTTGGGTCTTTGAGTTTAATCTCAAAAAACACGGGAACAGTACGCATAAGCATAGACAGAGAATATATAGACATAAGTATGGTGAAGATACCAGGGATTCGTGCTTGACCGGAATCTGAGATTCCGGGAGAGGAATCTTCCTGCCGAAGAGCTTGATAGCAGGATCTTTGGAGGGAGGCAAACCACCACCGTTCATTTTCTATCAAAAATTTTGCAGCAAGATGTCGAAGAAGAAGCAGAAGAAGAAGAAGAAGAAGAAGAAGACCAAAAGCATAACAACTACAAATGAAAACAGCAGGAAAAAAGAGGACTTTAAAGAAGAGAGAGAGAGTTTTAACGAGGGAGCAGAACAAATTATAGACTCTCTCTAAAGAAAACCCATAAAACCCTCCTCTCAAACATAAACAATGGAGTCCCAGATAAAGCATAAAGAACGTGAAGGATCAAGTACAAAAAATTTCATTTTTTTTTTTCTCTTTTTTTCCTCCTTAAGAAAATAAAAAAGAAAACTTTTCTTCTTTCTTTCTGTTCTTTTTCGTTTTTTTTTTCTTTTAATTTAATAATTTTATTTATTATATAAGCTGACAAGAATTATGAGAGAGCTTTTTTCTGCTTTTAGCTGCCATGTCATTTTATCAATAAAAAAATAAAAGCTATTATTATATATTAAAAAATAGACTTATTTCATTAGCCCATGCTTCATTGTATTATATTTATATAGAAATAAATATATTTTTTTTAATTATTGACAAAATTTTAAATAAACATATCTTGCAAAGTCTTCTGTTGACTCCTATTCATAAAGGAAGCCTCATTGGTCATTAACAAGTTGAAATATTTGAATATTGAAAATTAAAAATTAGTGGGCAAATAATAAAACATAATATTATTAATTAATTAATTAATTAAATAATTACCATGGGTAAAATAAAAAAAGAAAATTACTTGGATTATTGAAATGGATAGGCAGAGGGAGAGGGGGAGAGAGAGAGTTTATATATAGATTTGGTGAAATTGTAAAATAAAAAATTGTGAGGATGAAATAAAAGGGGATGCCACGTGGGCATCCTAGTCAGCAAAAAGGCGGGTGATTTTGTGGGGCAAGGAAAAAATTTAGAGTGGGGGGCTAAGGATGAAGGGGTGACGTA